CGAATTCCTTGGCTCGCGAGACGAGCGAAACCGCCCCCCCCCAATTATCTTGTTTTGAATCACTTTTCGCGCGTACGAGCGACAGCTTTTCCGATGATTTTTATCTATGTTGCCGATATCTTATGCATAGGACTCGGAAAAACGAAGCCACTGGATCAAAGATTATTGCTAAATTGTTTATAAATTACGGTAATTGATGATAAACTTTGACCGCTTATATCTCGAGAACTAATAAACGGAATTATTTTTTTTTAAAGAAGCGTTTTTCCGAGTACTTTAAAATTATAATTTTTAAAAAAAACTAAATTACAAATTGATAAATTTAATTTAACTGTTTAAAAATAAAAAAAAAGAGTGTTAACTTTAAAAGTTTACTATGGCAGTTCTAATAAACCGATTTCAATTTTTCAAAAACCATTTGAAAGATTGAGGGGTTTTTTCTATGTGAAAAAATTTTCAAGTGCTAGATGCTTTATTTGAGGCTGTGGCAACATTTTGAAAATTTGAAATTTTTTTTTTTAATTTTTTTCAAAAAATTATTTTGCGTAAACTATAAAACCGATCTTGGTGTGTTATTTTATTATACTCTGAAGTTTTTTTACCAAAATTAGAAGGCCCTCGGAATAATTAAAATATTTTAAAAAAATATCCAAAAAAACTTGATTATTTTGCCTCTTTTTCACCAATTATTGCTATTTTGCAACATTTAAATATAATAAACATTTTTAACTTACAACTTATTTTGTAATATTCAATTCTAAAATTTTTTTTCGCCTTCAATATTCTTCGAAAATGCATAGGTTCCAAGATATAAGTAAAAAACTCAGATAAAATAGGTATTAAAATTTTTAAACATTTTTGCAGTTTTGAAAATGTTTCCGGATCTTGCCCAGATCTAGGGTTCTACACTTTTATTATGTGAGTTATAGTGAAGGTAATCCAGAAAAAAATTTGCTTGCCCCCTCTTACATCCAAGGAGTGGGATATTTCGACAGATTCGCCCTGGTCTAATTAATCAGGTTTGAATTAGTGTATTGTAAGGGATGATAAATCAACAAATCTAAAAAATTCACTTCACTTCTACTGTTCGTAAAATGAAGTTAATGAAAATAATAAAGGAATCAAAGGAATAATGAGAATACCACACTGGAAAAGTAAAAACAATTCAGAAATAACCTTTCCTCGCGTAGAAAAAAAGCACTTAGTGAAAATTTATAGCGAGACGTTGGCTGAAAAGAAAAATTGATGCATTAGCCTTCGCGGAAGCGATATGTAAAATATTCAATAATCTTCACTTAAACTACAGTAAGCTGGTTGATATGGTAATTGCTGAGCCAGGTGTTGGACGTCGTATTATCAATCAAACGCGAACGGTACTCCTCACATTACCTCAACTATAAAGGCCAGTGAATTGCGAGTCTAGCTTACCAATTAGCTAAACTTACACGTCGACTGATGCGGCAACAGTTATATTATTTAAAGTTCCTAAATTCCGTAAATGGGACCGAAACATCGGCTTTGCCAAAACTATGCTAGACGTATTATAGCTGTAGTTCTCTCGAGATTGTTTTTACTGAACAGTGATTATTACATTGTAGTTAACCACATTCTATAAAAAAATATATTATAATAGAAACTAACGACCTCAGAATGTTTTAATATATTACCATGCACATTTATTACATAATCACGTACAATTACCAACATTTTAAGTTCTTTTTAATTGTCGGGCAGCCTTCTACTGCGCAATAGAATTGAAGTTAATCGAGATCCGAGCTGCAAAAAGCCGCTATTATATTGTATTTATCAAAATAATGATACACCCGGGTCGTTCATCCGAAATACTCGCGAGCGTGTTCGAGGGAACAGACTGCAAAAAGTAAAACGCGACTGGCACTGAGATAATTGCAATTCGAGAGATGATTCGGAGACGCGGGGTTTTGTGGGCTTAAAAAATGGTTTAGAAATGGCAAAGCTTCGTGGCGTCTTATATAACGGTGTGAGTACAATTGGATAGAATGCAAAAGTGATCCAAACAATGAAACAGTTAATTTGAACATACGTAAATGAAATTTGAATATAATAAACTTCAAGTGAAGGAAAGTAAAACTTCTAACAATTGAAGACTGTGAAATAATTTTTCGGAATAGTTGCTATGACGTCAGCTTAGACTTAATGACGTTTCGAGAAAATAAGAGAAGAAAAGAAACTGGAAATGAAATATTTCTGGTGGATGTTTATATTTGGCCTGTGGAAAAAAAGGAATAACTGTGAATATTTTACGTATCTTACTTACATACAATAATAAAACAATAAAAGTCAAAAACTCTTTATTTTGACTCGGACGTAGTCTATAGATGATGGATGTTTAATGGTAATAAATGGCATGATTAATATGAACTATCACTACGGATATTTTATAATGATGTGGATATGTGCCATGGGTCAATTTTGTGAGAAGGCGTGACATTTCTATCGATGAAAAATATAAGAGTACTAAAGGATAAATTATGAACCAACCAGCCACAGGAAGTCCTTAGGATGAAGACAACTATAGGCAGCAGATCTACCAATATCGTTGGAGATAATCTTGCCTGCAAAGACTCTGATAAAATTAAGGTGGTTAAGCCGCATTCGAAAAAGTATTTGTCTTCTTTCTTATTGGTTGAAAAATAGTTCCTTTATTAAACAATCAATAACAAAGAAACACGTCAGAAACAACATCTAGAAGCTCATATTTGCACTTGGTTTTAGATCCTAGAGAAAAGAGAGAGTCGAAGACGATAATTTATATTAAATATATATTTGTTTTTCAGTTGTGGTATACTTGGAAGAAAGTTTGTGACATTTTTTTTATTTGGAAAATATTAACTGATTGTGATTAACATAACTGTCGATATCTACTGATAATCTGGAAACTGAAATTAGTAATAAGGTAAAAGAAAATATTAGTATGTAGTAGATTCAAGTTCGTAATCAGTGAAAACCTGAAGAACCAGTGAGAGTTTATGTGTCTGTAATTTTATTCTTCACTTGATGCTATTCAATTTCCGAATATCGATGAATACGCCAAACTAATTTTCAACAGACCAACAGACAAGAAAAATCTTTTAGAGAAAAGATATTCGAATTATTGAAAATAGATTTTGAACAAAAAGCGTGGTGTTTTCAGATACCTTAACGAGTTTTATGGGGGAAATTACCTCGTGACGTAACATAACCTCAAATGTAGCAAAAAACCGTATTTTCGTATTTTTACGTTAATATATCTAGGAAACCTGACATGAAGGAACAATTGTACTGTCGAATTCGGAAGAGTTTATTTTGTTTTCTAGTTTAAAATTTTGTTGGTATGTTTTATCAAAAAGACCGTAGCGACCTCTAGGAGGATACGGAATATCACTGAATTTATAGAATCCTACATAAAAAATCGGTGTAACAACAGTTATGCCAAGATACATTTAGTTAACTTTTCACTTAGTAAAGTCATATGGGTAAAATAAAGTTTAAAATGAAGTTAAGACAAATTACAATTTAAATTAACTAATTCGTTCACCAAAATTATCATATAATATACAGGGTGATTAATTAATAATGGGACAGAGTTTAATGTCAGGTTGCTGACTTCAAAATAGAACGATTAAGCGATGTTTCTCCTTTTCGATCTACAGGGTGTTAGTTGAAATTTTTTTTCGATTTTTTGACATACCTTGAACATCTTTGAACCGATTGTTTTGAAATTTTGCATGCCTATGTTTTTAGAGGTGGCAATTAAGAAAATGATAATTATTTTGCATCAGTTCTAGAGGGCGCTACTTGTAGTGTTCTATTAGAATAAAAATGGCGTTCCCGCACATTATTCTCGACCAGTAAAAGAATATCTTGATAGAAGTTTACCAAACCGTTAGATTGGTCGCGGAAGCGAATTTCATTGGCCAGCGCATAGCCCTGATTTAAATCCACTGGATTTTTATTTCTGAGGTAACGTCAAATCTTTGATTTATAAAGATGTTATACATACTCGAGAACAACTGTGGTCAAAAATAGAAGAATCTGTTAACACTATGAGAGACCAACAAAGAACTATATTCAAAATTTTAATGAGAGAATAAAGAAGTGTATTCAAGTCAATGGTGGTCACTTTGAAAATCTTTATCTTTTGTAATTCGTAAATTAAGCATAATACAATTTTCAGTTATTACTGTCTTTGTCTTAATTCGTAATTCAGTCTACGTATTTCAAGGCCTACCTTGAAACAAATAATTTTCTGATTTAATTTTCACTGTAATTGTACAAATGTAAATCGTCTTAATTTCGAAAACAGTGAAGTTTTCAATTATTTACGGATATACATTTTTTATTTAGAATTGAACGTAGTTTAATAATTTCTTATTGGTAGTTCAGATATTTGAGGGACAAAAAAAGTTTGATATATTTTTACTCTGACAGAACACTACAAGTAGCGCCCCTTAGAATTGACTGCAAAATAATTACCATTTTCGTGATTACACCTCAGAAAACATAGGCATACAAACTTCCAAGGCAATCGGTTCAAAGATAATCAAGATATTTCAAAAAATCGAAAAAAAAAAATAAACTTTAACACCCTGTAGATCGAAAAGGAGCAAGACTCGAATAAGGCATGATTGACTTAGTCGTTTTATTTTGAAGTTAGCAACCTGTAATTAACCTTTGTCCCAATAATAATGAATCACCCTGTATATTAAGAAATTAATATTTCTTTTGCTGTTAAAGGAAACTTTATCCATTCAAATTTAGCGCCCTACTTGTTTCTGTGTGTTAACAAGAGATGGCGGTATGTTGTAGATTTTTCTACACTCTATAGACATAGACAAATTAAAATCATCTGCACTAAGTATTTGAGTCTGTAATGGGAGCTATACAATTTTTTTTCAGATTTCCCTTTTACCATACAATTCACTGCTACTGCCTTTTTTTAAGATTTTATTTTTAAATAAAAATGACAACAATAAATATCATACAATTATTTACAAACGGAAATAAACGTTATTTATGCACATTTTCAAATTTTGTAAATGCTTTTTCCTCGACGGAAGAAATGTGAAAACGAAGGTCAAATATGACCACCGCGACTTCACAAAAAAGCAAACTAATCGCAATCTAACCTTTTTTTCACGTTTCTTCCGTACAGCAAGACGTTCTACGTAGGACTAGTTTGGTCCCATACCGTGTAAATCTAATCTTACAAAAACAAACATTTTAACAATTGATTCAAGCACCTAGAGTCTCTAAAGCTGTTTAACATGATATAAAATGTCTTGAAATACCTAAACGAAGCCAATTAGCACGAATAGTCTGATTTAAAAAACAGTTCGGGTCATGGACGTATTTTTCTGCAGGATGCAGGCGGTTGGGGGTCAGGCTTTTACGTAAATCGATTCGTGAAAACGCTCACAAGGATGTATTTTGAGCATTTTACCCAGTCCATTAATTAAAATTCGCTTTATATTTAAATTAAGATGTTTTTGTTTACGACACTTAATTTATCAGGTAGCTAAATAAGCAAGAAACGGGGTAATAACGTAAGGATTATGTGCCCGACGCTCTGGGTGGTCCACAACAAGGGCAATTAAATAATGGAGTAGATTTGTTGAAATTGCTGAAATCGGTTCGAATATAAAAATATTCCGTTTAACTGGGTGCTTTACCTTGGAAAAATTGAATAACTCGATAAAGATGCAGGGTATTACGAATTGCATGAATAAAACTTTACATGGTGGCAGAATTTTTCAAAATAGTAAAAAGCTTCAATGGTCAATGGTCGTGATTATTAAAATAATGTTTTTTAACACTGAAAATATTTAGGTAGATGTTAGAAAAAATAAATAATCTGTATAGGAGGTTTATAAACTTAGAAAGTGTAACAAATGTTCGGTCACGATCGCTGGGCGCAGGGTCGGTTCGATCGGAGTGATTTTGGTGTCATTGTGTAGGTTGGATAATTTTTCGTTGTGGGCTTTCCACGATTACGGAGGCTGCAATGGGAAGGAAAATAGTGAATTTTGACAATTTCTATGGGAGTCATTATAGAACTTTATAAAATCTTTTACTTTGACGGCCCAATTTTTATACGCTTTTGAATAGGCAGGAGAAATACCTGTTAATTTTTGTTTGTTTATCTTTTAGCTTTTTACTGTTAAGACACGAAGGCTCGATCGACAGAAATATTTTTTGCAAATAGAATAAACTTCATATTGAATTCCGACTGATATAACAATAATACGAAGAAACATTTTTGGAACCATTGACTCTATTAGCTCGGCTGACTTTGTTTACACGAATCGCTGTAAATAAAAACGTGCAATTAACTCAGTTTTCATCTGCTGCTCCAAAAGTTATTGTTTTTTTTAAGTGTATTTGTGGATGTTAACTAAAAAAACCTACTTATTAAATTTGATGAAAAGTTGACTTACATCTTTGTGAGCACTTTCCCAATATTTTAATACTCTACTAATCCTGTTGCAGGTTTATAATAACTTAGTTTTAGATGCTAATAATAGTAATACTGTTAATATTCAAAAATATTCCAAGAACCGAGTCCACAGTATCTTTGTGTTATCAGATGATTAGTAGAGGTGCTTCTTTTATGGCTAGCTTTCTTCATTTCACAAAACTTCCCTCCAAAATATCAAAAAACACGAAAATTTACTTTACATCTTTGAATTATCATTTGTCGATGATCGATATCACACGGAAAGGGACTCGTTCCTTGGAACATTAAGTACAGTTGTGCGTTTCTATTTGTGGTCGCTCTGAGTAGTGGAGGGTAGGTCAGCATAGATGGCGCTGGGACCCTCATTGCTGCAGACAGAATCTTCTGGCGTCCTCGACGGTTCTGCTTCTGTCACCTCCTCCTGGTGCTTGTGACGGTCTTTGTCTTTGTGCTTCCCGTGCAGATTCTAAGCGAAAAAATAAAGAATGAAGTATGTACACATATCAGTACAACTATTGTTATTATAATAAACACCACCAAGAGCATAAGAGAAGAAGGTATTATTGTAGTATCGGTCTATCACCTATATTTTTGGCTTCTTAGCCGTGCTTTGATGACTTATCTGGGTTACTACCGAATATTTGATAAGCTTGACGCAAGTGGACACTAACATTATCATTATAACGAGACGCTTTCAACTCTAACATTATTCGGATACATGTGACAAGGCACGTAGGCTAATATTGGGTAACAAATATTTACATCACTTTTGATTTGAATATAAAAAGCGGTCCCGATATCTTTCATTCGGGGATTTAAATTTAAAGGCTTTTGTGTATTTAACCGACAGAAATTAATTGTGATGCGTTAGAAATATGAAAGTATGAGCAATTTTTTCCTTTGAAGTTAGAGAGTTTAAAAAATGCAGAAGTGAAATGTGCAATAACAAACAGCTTTTCAGTTGTTTACCTCTATAAAAACATTAAATAAAGATGATTATTTTTTTAAATAATTAAATAATTTCCTCAGTGTATATTGCCCCAAGTCTCAAAGCAGCCAAAATTTTTAACAACCTTCCGAATTGTATAAAAAACATAAATAATATGAACCTCAAGTAATTATAGATAATTTTTATAGTGCACTTTTCTTGTACATTATGTTATACAGGGTGTCCCTGAAAAGAATGGACAACGCTTGACCACAGGTTCCTTAGATGAAAATAATACTATTTAGCCTAACTTACCTATACACAAAAGTGCACGCACACTTAGATATGGCCTTCTAAATATAGAATAGATAACCTATTTTTTTCAAATAATTTGAAAACTATTTTTCTTAGAAACTTCAAATTTGATACACATATTTTTTTATATAAGGGCAAGGTAAATATAGAATTTGGAGAGAATACATATACAGGATGTTCTATTTATAGTGCATGTGCGCCACTGGCTATCCCGTAACTTTTTTGTGTGTATGGCAATGACGACAGAATTTATATTTTTAAAAATACGTACTATTTTAGAAGATTTTTTGCCTCTTACAAAATTTTGATATCGTTTATGGATTTCGAGTAAAATTGGCATTTTTTATACATTAAATATAGGCAAAAATCCCGATTTGTAAAAAATAATTTATAACTGCAGCCTCAAAGCAGGGAATAATAATGAAAAAATCGTCACATTAAAAAAAATAACTACACATTTTTGGTATTAGTATTATCAATCAATAAAATAAAAATCGACACTAATATTTTGAATAAACAATATCAACTAATAATGTAAGAAAGTCAACATTAACATTTTAAATAAACCTAAATTGATATTTGTAATCACATTAAAATAATATTACAGTAAATGCTCAGTTACTTCCTTGTTCTTAAACGCAAACATTAGTTCTTCGAAAATTAGAAATTATCCAATAATTGTACATTACCTCTCATAACATTAATTTCATGTTGTATTCTTTCCCATATTCGTTTTCTTTATTTACTGAAAAGTTATTTTAAACTGTGGTCTTCAACGCTCCTCAAATGAAATAATTACATGGGTTTAGGTCCGGGGATCGAGGTGGCCATTTTCAAGGGGCATTATTTCCTCTACCTATCCACCTGTTAGACCTTTAATAACCTGTAATACCTACCTGTACCCTGTAATACCTGTAACCTGTAATAACTGGTCTTTTAATACTCTATTAAAGGAACTTTTTGAAAGCCAACCTCTGCCGCTAAACGCCTTTTATTTACTTGAAGAATTTCTTCGACCCTTCTCAAAATTTGTTCCTCCAGCTGAATAATTCCGGGCGTACTTTACCCACGATTTAATGTTACAAGGTAAAAAACGTCCTGGTTCCCGAAGACGTCTCTCCGCATTAGCAAATGTTTTGTGATTTGGAGTTTTTCGATTAGGATCTTTCAGCATATGTTCGAACAGTAGTACAACAATTTCCTTCACAATAACCCAAAACTACTAACTAAGTTTGTTCAGCAAAAGTATAAATTGCAATAAAAAACAAAGTAAGCTAAAATTAAATCACAGCTAGCTTGACACAGAACCTTTTAATTATTGTTATGAATTTGTTTCTCTGTTATATGGCACCTCGTACTAGATTGTTCTATTTATCTTAAACTGATTTTATATTATTTAATGTGTAAAAAATGCCAATTTTACTGGAATCCATAAACGATATCAAAATTTTGTAAGAGGCAAAAAATCTTCTAAAATAGTGCTTATTTTTAAAAATATAAATTCTATCGTCATTGGCGAACACACAAAAAAGTTACGTGATAGCCAGTGGCGCACAGGCACCAGAAATAGAACATCCTGTATATGTATTCTCACCAAATTCTATATTTACATTGCCCTTATATAAAAAAAATATGTGTACCAAATTTGAAGTTTCTAAGAAAAACGGGTTTCAAATTATTTGAAAAAAACTAGGTTATCTGTCTACATTTATTTAGAAGGCTATATCTCAGTAGGCGTGCACTTTTGTATATAGGTAAGTTAGGCTAAATAGTCTTGTTTTCATCCAAGGAACCTGTGGTCAAGCGTTGTCCATCCTTTTCAGGGACACCCTGTATATTATAAAAAAAATATATATTTTTTAACTTAGAATCAATCAATATAAATATAACAAAGCCCTAACTGTCCTGGATTCCTGAAATACTTGAATATATATTTTTTTAAGATACAAATATTTGTTGTTTGTGCCTGTACATTTGAGTAACAACCATTAATCACACAGTAAAATAGTTGGCTACCGTTTTTATCATTTGTTTTCGGTTTCCAGCCCCTGAATAAATCTTCGATTTTTACTCGAACATAAATTCCAAATCATATTTCAGAATCTCCTGCCAATTTGTAAAATCCCGTTCGGACCCGGTCTGGCCGTGATAAATCCGATAAATTTATGTTGTTTTCCGCGCACGGGAAGTATATTCAACAAACTCGCGGTTACATAAAAAATAGAACGCGGCTTTCGCCCGGTTCTGTTGTATGCGGCACTAACAGCGTCATTTACAACAAAAGAGCGAACGCGATGCCCTGAAATTTATAATTATCGAAAAATTCATACCTGCCTGTTCAATTTCTGTACAATAGCGTACACTTTTTTTTACATTCGTATAATACATATTCAGCTAATTAAAGTCAAGTTTCAAAATTAATTAGACGATGTACCTCACGATGTAGCCGTTGCGGAGGAAGTGGACCATAAAAGTACATCTTCGCTTGTAAGCATTTCAAAAACGTCCTACTTTCAACATGTCGTTGAGTGAAATAATCTGTTCAAACGTTACTTACAAAGGATCTTAATAACGCCAACACGACACCTTTTACTGCTACAAAGTTTCTTTTCCTTCACAATTTTTTAAAACTAATAAAGCTAAAAAAATTATTCGAAATTAGCTATATCTAAAAAACTTTGGTGGTCGATTATGTTTCAAGGCGTCCGTCGTATATATACATTATAATTACTGATTTTGCTTATAAATGAATTGTATATGAAAACAGATTAAATTTATTCAGCAAATCTAAAATTATAATAGATTAACATAATTCGTGGATATAAAATAAATATAACTATAGATAACACAGCCCCGCAAAAAAAAGTATCGGATCTGGTATTCAGACCCATGTATTTCCATGTATTTTTTTCCGCCTTCAGATTTGGCCCAACGGGTCTGAGTTTTCGGGAAAATTCAAAAAAACAGGTCAAAATTCACAAAAAACATCATTTACGATCGACGAAAGTTATAAAAAGTCAAATTATTCTACCAGCTCACTAGACGTAGGATTTTTCACTCGTTTAATTGCAATTTATCATCATAGAGTCAGACAAGCTGGTCCAATTTCATTCAAAAACAGAAAATAGATCAAAATGCTTAAAAACGCTATTTTCATGGCATTATTCGTGTTGCAGAGTTCTGGATCTATCTTCTTATCCACGCACCCATTTATGAATTCATACATCTTTCTATCCAGTCGTTCATGCATGAATACTCATCTCATATTTATCTATCCACCTGTACCACCTATAAAACCCACCCATCCACCGATCTATCCATATACTTTTTGTGCTGAGAGATTAGATAACAGACTAGAAGATTGATAATGCAATAAAACTTGTAGAATACTGTACTTTCTAAACAAAAAAAAACGATATCTACAAATCATTCTTATTTTTGTTGTTATAACGTGTTTTCTTTTCTTCAAAGGATCTAAGCAAAGGGTTACGCTTTCGATTAGTCCCTCTATTTTTCGTTTCTCTTTTTAACAACCAACAAAAATCGGTCATCATGTTGTGATCCCATCTTTCTTGATATCGTTGTTCTATAACCTTCATTTCCTGATGAAATCGTTCGCCTTGTTCTTCGCTATAATCTCTTAGATTTTCAGGAAACCAATCCATATGTAACTGAAGGAAATGCAACTTGTAGTCCATCAAACATCCCAGGTCTTGGAAGTCTTTTATCAATTTTAATACAATTTCTTCGTATTTAGGACTCTTGCTGTTTCATAAAAAAATTGTTGCTACAATTTTGAAACTAGTCCAAGCACTCTTCTCAACGCTACTCACTGTAGTGATGAATGTTGCATCCTTGAACAATGTCCGAATCTGAGGTCCATCGAATTCTTTCAATTTCGCCTCAGAAATATTCGGAAATTTTCGCACTTTATATATATATATAGGGCGAAACGTAACCCTTTGCATAGATCCTTTGAAGAAAAAAGAACACGTTATAGCAACAAAAATAAAAATGATTTGCTGAAAAAAAAAAACGATAGTTTTCTTTTGTTTAGAAAGTACAGTATTCTACAAGTTTTATTGCATTCTCAATCTTCCAGGCTGTTATCTAATCTCTCAGCACAAAAAGTATATGGATAGATCGGTGGATGGGTGGGTTTTATAGGTGGTACAGGTGGATGGATAAATATGAGTATTCATGCATGAACGACTGGATAGAAAGATGTATGAATTCAAAAATGAATGGGTGGATAAAAAGATGGATCCAGAACTGTGCAACACGAATTATGCCATGAAAATGGCGTTTTTAAGCATTTTGATCTATTTTCTGTTTTTGAATGAAATTGGACCAGCTTGTTTAACTCTATGATGATAAATTGGAATTAAACGAGTGAAAAATCCTCCGTCTAGTGAGCTGGTAGAATAATTTGACTTTTTGTAACTTTCGTCGATCGTAAATGAAGTTTTTTGTGAATTTTGACCTGTTTTTGGAATTTTCCCGAAAATTCAGACCCGTTAGGCCAAAGCTGAAGGCAGACTCGGATTCCGCGGAAAAAATACATGGAAATAGATGGGTCTGAATACCAGATCCGATAATTTTTTATTTGGGTCTGTGAATTAATGAGCTGATTTTCCGTTGATTAAAACAAAAATATCACACCGATTTTCAAAATATTGCAGCAAAACTTACACAAATCTAAATATATTTACAATAATTATGCAATCGTAATGTCTTAGTGAAATCTGTGCTCATAATAGTTAATTGTGTGCAGCGAAACCAAGTCTGCTTGGAAAAATAATGACGTTTTTATCGGAGTAAAACTTAAGACAATGTATTTTTTTTCTCAGGAAGTATGGAGAGAATTAAGTGCCTCGCTGTTTGAAAGATTTAACAAACTTCAAACTACTTGATACACTTTATTATGGAGATGATACTCAACTGCACAGAGAATCTATTCTTTACTCTCTACATATCAGAATCTAAACAAAACAAGAATAGCACAATTTCTAAAGTACGATGGTGTTTTGAGTTATGACGTGGCCAGCTACAGACTTGCATTGCATTAGCCTGGGTCTAGGCGAATTTTAATATGCGAATTAACAAGCGATTTCCATGTGCAGTTGTTTCGCGTAGAATGCCGCTTCGGCTGAAATTGCTTGACATGGCGTACGTTACAAGAATCATTCGTGCCTTTAAAAGCATTATAGTCTCATTGATTCTAACTGGACGGGCTATGCAACGGACGAAATTGGGTCAGTCACGCTTAGGACGGGTCGGATGCACTTACCTTCTCTCTGCTGCCCTTTTTCTGCATGCAAAACACAAACAGATCATTTAGTAGAAATCAAACGGTACATTTTTTATATAAAACAGCAATTATGGGTGAAACTTCGGCTTTAAGTAAATTAATGAAACGATAAAGAGTAGATTTCAAAATAAAAGACACTATCAAGCCGATAAGATCCTAAGTCGTTAATTTTCAAGTTACGACTCGAGTTTCCAGACTTACTATAACGACATTTTGATGATGAAAAGTTGCGTTAGTTCTTGCGGATTGTGGAAGTGAAATCTCTCCTAATTTTGATTGGATTAAAAGATAAATGGGGTCTGTAAGTAGTTGGAGTTAACGATGAGCGATAATAAGTTATATTAACGAAATAAACTTTTAATCAGATTGAAAACAGTTATGTAGATGAAGGATCTATTGACGATTAATGCTCGAGTATACAATTATTTTTCTGTAAAATATCGAGAGGAGAACACAAAACACGTCTGCATCGTTCAAAAAAACCACACTGAACTTGATCTAATTACTGTATTGTAAACAGTTGATCAGTTGATTAAGTGGGGTGATACAGGGTCAGCCTACGGTTTCGCATAATAATTCTTGATTTATTTGTGGAAACATGTGACACTAGACCACAGGTGACTTAATGAAAATTGTTTATTTTAACATTTCCTATTGCACCTTATAGAGAGTTATTAGTATAATATTAATTACTGCACAATCTACTGTACCTGTAAACTGAATCGTCGATGCTGAGCCTTCCTGCCACCCCTTCGCTTTGAGATGTGAGGATTGTCGCGGCAGATGGTCTTGCTTTTGAAGATCTCCAGCTGCAGGTACAGCCTCTTTAGCTCCGCTCTGATGTCGTCGGGACTCATGTCCGCCAGAGTTACCTCACCCACGTCCACGTCACTATTGTTGCCCGTTAAGGGTCCATGCGCGTTCACGTCCTAGGAAAATGATTTTAGGTGTAGCATACATTTACATTTTCAAAGGGAACTTCGAAAGTTGAATAAATTTGGAAAAGACCAAATAGATGTCTTAAGATACCTGAAAAGAAAGTTTCGACTCCCAAGAAAAATGGAAAATGTACGTTGTACGAGAAATATATCCAGAGCAATAATACCAGACATTTATAAAGCAATTATGCTACTACGATCTTAAATCGCACATTTCTGTTTGACTTGTTTTCGCGTTATAAGTTATAATTGATAATGAAAGTTTTCTGCAAACATCTCCACCTTGAAACGTTTCCATGCCAATTATAATCCATTAGGATTACAAGAAATTCCAATCTGTTTAAATCGGAACGGAACCAGTCGATTTAACGAGCCGGATGGGCGATACGTCGTCCCTCCCCCCCCCAGCGCAATCGGAAAAATCATTAGCAGGGCCGGAAAATGATAAATTAATTCAATATTCCTCTAATCCTCGTCGAGAGATCGCTTAAATTAAATTATGACCGGGAATATTTACGCTAGACTTCCAATAACGAGATAGGGTTGCGACGCAGACTTAATTAACTGAACATTAGATAATTGCCTAGAACTATAATCACGCCACACCGAACTCTTCGTTCGTCAAAAGGGGAATTTCTGTAGCCCTGACATAGATAGCAGATTGGGTAGATGGGGTAGATCGATCCACTTATTTTAATTTCTAATTTAATATTTACGAATGACGCCTCAAGGCTCTGATCTGAGGCCGTTAATATTCTTCACTTTATTTAAGATGAAACTAACGTCTAGAAATATCAAAAAGATGGTGAAGAAATAGGCTCATATGACTATGAAAGCTGTTCTAGTTAATTGATTACTTAAAAAACTAAAAGAACTATTAACGAAATATACAGGGTGAATATCTTAGATGTTTAACGTAGATTGATAAAACCTAGGCTAATAATTTTAGTGGAGTCAAGATAGCTTAAAATTAAGCATTATTTCGAAATAATTATGGGAAGCATGGATTTTCCTAAAACCTTTTGAAATTACTTGGAGATAAGTATTAGAAAAAAGTTATAAACTTATTTTTGCACGCTAATTGTTCTTTAATTGTTTAAACAATAATAATTAGTTTTTTTAAGAACATTTAAAATAATTTCATGAATTTTAAATCGAATTCTTTCAAATCGACAACACAGGAGTTTTCGATGTCGCTGAACAAGAATATGAAGTCGGAAAATGAAAATTCAAAATGGCTGATCCAATATGGCCGACTATTTTAAACAATTTATCTAACAATTATCGATTTTAAATCAAACTCGCTAATATTTGTAATATAGGGGTTCGAAAAATGAAGATTATAAATGGCCAAAGAGATTTTATTGAAAATGTTTTATTTTTTAAAAAACGAATTTATTTCAAAATAATTAATTTTTAAATCTCATCGAGTTCTTGCTCTTCTTCAAAAATAACTAGGCAATTAAACTTTAAGCCAATAAAATTGAAAAAAAAAACTTATTTTAAATACAAAATTACAAAATCAAAATCAACGTCCCCTATTATTTATTTATTCATTAATTATTTTAAAAATGGATCAATATTCATATATAAATATTAAACTCATACATTTACAGGTTTAGCATAAAAGAAAACGAATATAAATACATTAAATGCAAACTGAAGATTATTTGTAATAATAAGTAAAAATATTACATTAAACAATTACAAGTGCACGAGAGTATAATCTCAAAATGGACAAAATATGCTGCTTACTCGAAAACGAAAAATAAAAATCATATTCTTATACCATTTATAATAATAATTATCTAATTCTTATAAACGAAAAACGCTGACGTGAGCAATCCAACGGTGACCTTGACCATGTCCTTGAAGGTCATTTAGAGGTCAAGTTGAAAATTTTAAATGGAACCATATACCTTTTACCCCGGAAATGGTAAGAGCGGAAAATTTTACGTCCGAATCTGATTTTGACCATGACCTTGACTTTTGATCCCGGTAATGAAAAGAGCGAAGAATATCGGGTCATTTATTAAAAATCGACTTGACCTGTAAACGACCTTGAAGGTCATATCCGAACGTAAAAATTTCCATTTTTTCCATTTCAGGGCAAAAATATACGGTTCCATTTAAAATTTTCAACTTGACCTCTAAATGACCTTCAAGGTCATAGTAAAAGTCACCGTTGTATTGCTCACTCAAACCCTGCAACATTTATCCTAATATTTTCTTTTTTGAGCAGTATTTTCTGAGATAGAGGGGGGGATTCCAAACTTTTTGAACACCCTGTATATTATACTCATATCTATGTTTAAATGAATAAGAGAACTTATATTCACAATTTCAGATACAGAATATACGTTTTAAAAATGAATATTAAATCAATTAATCAAAAAACGTTATTTTTTTGCTATTATAACAATTTTCCACTTACTACTATAAATAAAAAAATATTTTTCGCTGGATTTACTTTTTTAAGGTCTTAACTTTATTCTTTGATGGTTTATTAAACAAAACAAAAATATTTTTGTACATTATTAAACTTTATTTAAAATAAATTTCACGGATTTTTCATGAAATATTTTTATTTTTTGTTATTTTCTATTTTTTCAAATATTATTTCAATTTTTTAAGAAAAATAAAATGCACCATCTTAATGTAGAGATTTTAAGCTTTAAAAAGTGCTCTCATAAAGTTTCAATATGACATTTACAACTATGGTTTTTGATCTATAAAGTATGGCATAAAAAGTTAAATTTGTGATTTTTTAAAATTATTAAATATGTTGGGATCAATATTTTCAAATTAAATTTTTTAAGATTTTTTCCGTATAGCTCACTGTTCCAATCGTCATTTGAAGAGTAATCTGTGAAAGTTACAGATATTTATTCTAAAAATTAAAAGAATGACAACTATTTTATTATTATTGTACAAAATTAAAGAATGACGTAACTTTGTATACGTACTATATATATATATTTTTTTCTCAAGTTTAAAGACATAAAATTTTGATAGCCTGATGAATCTTCTTTCATTTAAATTTTTGTGAGGTCGATTTGATAAATTAGATCAAAAGTTATAACAAATTTAGTGTAGTGCGCTCGGGGCAGCGTGCTCTTCGAGAGCTATACTTAGAGGCCGCCCGTCTCATTTTTCGTACGTTAGAAAAAAATTCTACAGCCTTCAATTCGCATTTTAGAAAAAACTTTATTAACATTTTTTATGTAAAATTTCCTGTTCTTTCGAATAGCGCAGTTATTTTTTTTAGAAAATTATATTTTTTTATATATTCTGCAAATTCTGTAATTTTGCAAATAATTTGGTAAATAAATAATTTAGCGTACACTCTACAGTTGGTAACTTTTTATATGTATGTTGTTTCTGACAACTTTACAAAGCGAAAAATAAAAAGTTCTCCCTTCCAGTAATTTTCGTGAAGTCAAAATCTATCTTGACTCCACTATTTATCTAATTAACGACAGAACAGAACTGGATAAAAACATGTCACACCAATGTCAAAGAAATAAGATGGCACTGTCACTAAGAAACTGTGTTACTTCTAAGAAATGCCTCGAATTTTATTTCAAAAATTATTTGTTGCACAAAAAGTAGTTGAACTCTTTGTGCTACCTGCGAAAAATGTGCTACCTAATAAATTTCAACACGTTGTGCAATTCAAACACTACATTTTTTCTATCTCCTCTTCAATCCGCAGGCAATCTAATCAAATAGATTACTAATTACATTTCGCTATTACTTAGGTAATTACTACCATCGAATTGCGGTTGGACCATCTGTGCACATTCACAACTTCCAAATTACACGTCAAAATATTGAAAATATATGAACCCTGTGCAATATTAATTAAGTTCGGTGATGAAAATAATGTTTTTACGAGCCGTCGGAGTTTTTAGATTGATTTACGGGACGTTGAAATTTATTTTAAAAGCAGGTCTGGCCTATGTATGTTTACGCTTGAAACCGCTGAAAGAACTTCGGTTAATATAAACACACTGCGGAGAATTCAAAATTGCGAGGCTGTAAACATTTTTGTTTCCAGTTTGTTAACCCACGAAATTATTTTTGATTTAAGACAATAGTCTAGAAAATCATTCCTGCTTACTTTGAAGGCGTCCACGGGTATCCTGCAGGAGTACTCCTGCGCTAGATTCCTGACCTGCTTCTGCTGGTACCAGAACTTGGGGAAGAATATGAGGACGAGTCCTAGCGTCTGGGAGAGTTGCGTCCTGATACAATAAACGATAAGCACTAAATCAGGATGGAGACCTGGAAAAATCAGCACTCGAGCGACGTAGAACAGTGTACTGACCGCGAGTTCAATACTGATGGCCGCGCATAAAAAACTTCTTTCCTGCAAAGAAATTAAACGTTACAATCTATTTTTCTTGTTCATGACATGCTTCTGAATTTATATTTATGGTAGCACAAAAAACTTAATACACAGAAACCCGAAGTTGACTTAGTATTAATTGGAACGTCGTATGTGGAATAAATTTTGTTTCCCTTTTAGCCCCATAAAATTAAACTTGACACTTTTACAAAGAAATAGAAACGACGAACAATTCTCTGGCTCATGTAACCGCGGTAGAATTGAGTTGGTTAAATGTAATTTGCACTTAAATATAACTTCTGTACAAATTACTCTTGTTCTATCTGCAATAAAAAAAGACGATAGATTAAATATGCATTCGCAAAATGCAATTTAAGTGGGATTTTCTCTTTGGGATAAGGAAACTTCCCCAGCAGTCGCTATTGTAATGGGAAACGGGCAATTTGGATGTATTCAACGTTGGGGCTGGATGAATTCTTGATGAAAACATTACATGAAATATTTGTCAGAGTTTCAAACTGCACGGATTTATTCTTTGATGGAAAACAAAACTATTTGACCGGAATTATACAATAGAGCAAGTTATTTGTTACCAGCTATTTGAGATAAATAAAAATTGAACGTTATTTTTAAATGAGCATTCAACGATTTCTGTTTGAGAGGTTCCAACTTTGTTTTACATGAAATGTGGGTGAGAAAGAGGCACATTGTTTATTAGATTACAAGTGAACGTTTGACGTCTAACATAAATTATTTTTAAGAGCACATCAAAGTGGCTTGGCATCAAAGAAATTTTTTGAAGGAGTAATTTTTATCTTTGTACACTTTATGTTTGTGCCTTTGGTATGCAATGCAAGCTGTGAATTATAACTGCAACTGTTGGAGTTAAATAATGATTAGATCCAGTTTTGTTGTTAAGGTATCAGACATTTGATCAGCTGTGTCTGAGAGATTTAATTAAATTTGGTTTAAATTTTCCATGATGAATCGATCCTATATGATATGAAATTTGGAACTTTTGAGATATCTGGAGATTTATTTTATAACTCAATTATGCAGTCAACAAAGCTTATGTTTGCATACCTGGTTGCCTAACAGTTTGGGAATAACATGTGTGGCAGTTGCCTATGTTTCACATTACAAGGAATTAATTGTCCAAAATTTTAAAATTTTAATGATACGAACAATCTAAACTAGAATAAAATTAAAATTTTGTAGGACTTGACCGTTTTGGCAACAAAAAATCGCGATTTAAAATATCCCTTGGCAATGCCGTCGAGCCTATTACACTCGATTACCGTCCCATTCCGGATAGAACGGAAAATGAACCGACCCAACGCCCACAAGACGCACTTCCCATTATTCTCCAAGAAAGGCTCGGACGTCCCGTTGAATAACCGGAAATAATGAGGCGATGTGGATAGATGAAGTGATGAATAAAGCGAGAAGGCGAGTCGACAAGCCATTGTTCCATGATGAATTGGCTTCGCGGCAGTTTGTTGCTCATTAGAGCAGCCGCTGTCGACAAAGAGGTACGTTTCCGCGCGACCCTGTAGTGGTCTTTGGAAGAGGCTGTTTTTCCCCCACCGCTAATTGTTGAGACTGCCAAAAGAACAGTTTTTAGTGCCCTCCTGTCGTAAAAAGTACGAAGGAGACGAGATAAAAGGAACAGCTCCGTTAAACTTCAACTGGAAAATTTTAAAGTAAATTCAAAATGTGAATTGTCCCAAGACAATTTAAAAATGTGCGAGGAAAGTTTTAAGTTTTAAGTGTACCTTGTAGAATATCTTGTAAAGTTCAAAGAATATAGATAATTATGTTTCAAAAGATCGGTGAAATCATAAAAGTTTAGACATATCATCCTCGCTTATTAAAGCAACTTTAAACTGACTTTATTTTTATGCAGTATTTTAAAGGATTCTTTTAAGATGGGGTTGTCGGTATTGAAAGAGATTTTATTTCTACGAAAATTAAAGTTAATTTGTCGGTATAATCTTCTACATTAAAAAGTATTTTTGAAGCTGAAACGATGACTTTTCATATACTTTAACATAATTGCCATGGACCTGAAAAGTATATTTTGATATTATTTCTAATAATTCTTAATTATCAATTTCTCAAATTATAAATTTTGCAGTATCTTGATTTTTTTTCCACCGTACTTACGAAAGCATTGAAAATTACGCCTGGGAAGGTACGAGACCGATCAATATATTCGTTTGAAAACCCATCCAAGAGCTCGACTAAAAATATCTTCATCAGACATTTACATCGGGCAGATTGTCCAATTTCCTTTTCAGAATTTACATACATTCGAAACGAATAGGTAATCAACAATCCCATTGGGACCTGGAGGCGCTGTACACTTTATTAAGTGCCAGAGCAGGATTTCCGCTGACATCATGAAAAAAAAAACTCCACATATTCACCTGGCGAATAATCTTTTTAGAATTGTAAGGTAGGTTTAAAGGTCTTTTCTTATCGACTTTGAAGCTTGTGCTACAAAAATAGTCGCGCAAGTGTTATCGAAGACTTTATATTATACAGGGTGTTCATTTAGAACTTCCCACCTGGAAAATATCGGAATTAAAAAAAAAACTGAGCACGTCGATTTTTTTTTCAAGGTGAACACATGGCGTAAGTTTTGGTGTCTTGGAAGCTGAATTTTCCAGGAGGTTTTAATTGTAGATTTTTAAATAATTCTGTCTTAAAATAAATAATTATCTGCGACAAAAGTTCTGGTTCTTGTATTAATAAAGCCACGAAAGTAACAAATAATTCTAATAGTGCTATTGATCACATCTTTACGATCAACAATAATAAAAATAAAACAAAAATCGTACATTTAATATACGAAACTATATTTTACTAGTACTATTTAACGCACTACATAGCTGAAAGCTGGAACTGTAGTGCGTTCGAACAGCTTCAAACGTTTTTTTCTCGGAATCTGTAAATATTTTACTAAACCGTCGATCCAATTTTCAACGGCGCATACATCTCCAAAGCTTTTCGGACAAGTTGCGAATCACACTAAATTTTAACGAGGAGAACATAAATTTTCCCTTGCAAATTGATCTCTTCATCACTGCCCACCACCACCCGAGGCCGTCGCCTCGGTCAAGCGGGCCCAAATCGACGGCCTCCACCTTTACCGTGAACAAGGCTCTGCAATTTCATTACAATGGACCCATCAGGACGGGACAATGGGGTTGTGTTATCTGCGTACTTCCTGCTGTTGTATTTGGAGGCACGGCTATGCCTCGGCGCTGATTGTGTCCTGGTGTATTTGCGGGGTTAATTGAATATAGATTGGTTCTACACTCACGGGCAGCGGGGAGAGTTCGACGAAGTTCACCTTTGGAAGTTTGAAAACTCCCAGGCGAAGCGGAAACTTCCGAGTTGTGTGTATAAAACTTTAAAATAACCTTTTAAGGTGTCTTTGCCCGCGGTGTTTCGAAGAAAATTAATCTGTTGTATTATTTATAGTTGATATGTGTTAGAAGCTTGATTGCCATAGTTTTAGCAGGCGACAGTATCATCAAAATGAATAAAAAAAAGTATGTGATATATAAAATTCGAAACTCACGTGAAACTGCGTCCTAGCGTTCCTGCTCGCGTAGCTGAGATGTATCCCGAAGATGAGGATGATGAGCTCGCCCGTCTCCGTCACGTAGTCCCACCAGAGGGGCTTGCAAGCCTTGTACACCTCCCCGTCCACCGTCCGGCCCAGATAGAGCAAGCTGTAGTTCTCCTGCATGAAGTTGAGGGTGATGGAGGTATATGCCGCCATGTAGCCCAGCACCTATTAGGGAACGTCAAAGGGGATATTAATAAGGTCGAGATGCAATCTTTTATTGGATTTTTTCGCTTTGGTGGCGATGCGCGAGGGTTATTAAAAGAGGAAATCGAAATTCGAGGGCCGTTTGGAGCGTCACTTAGCCCCATTCTTTATACGGGGCAATGATGAGGTGTGTGGGTGCCCTTACCGAGAAATATACATAAGGGCAATAAAATATAGTGTGTAAGAAATATTTTATTTATATTACCTTTATTTTAGATTATTGTTTGTAATTTTGACTGGCCCCACGTTGGGCGCCAAAATGATAAGTGTTGTGTGTATTTTTTATAATTATTTTGATTCTCCCATTTGAATTAATTGAATAGGTACCACCTGTGCCTCACTGAGTGAGTTCTGTTCCCGGAGATAAACTATTGATGAAGGTATTCTTTACTTGAATTTGCTAGCTTAACATACTTTTTTATTTCTTGGATTTTTCGCCGTTAGAACTTATTGTTTTTATTTTCTTCATTTTATTTGCAATAAAGTATATTTTCAGGTTGACCCTGTTTTGACCTTGAAACTTAATCAGTAATTTATTACTATGTATTTTATTATTTTAACTAATTCAATTATATAGTTTTTGTTAATTTTATAGTATTTTTTTTATTTTTTTTTTTGGTATATCAATTTCTATTTTATACAGAGTGTCCAATTTAAATTGCGAAAATATATTCAGGGGGAGTTTCCTTGACCAAAAAGATACAGGGTATTGAAATTTAGAGAAAATACAAGGTTTTTACTAATGTCTGGAGAACCCTAATTCCGATTTTTTTGGAATTTGGTATGTTTGTTTATAAAAACGGTAGACGTCTTCTGACGTAATTTCTGATTAAGTATGCGATTAAAAATACAACTTTTTTGTCTCTTTACTTTTTTTGATATCTTGCTTCGTTTTCGAGCAAAAAATTAATAGCTTAAGTGTGTGATTTTAATAAGTATTTGAACTGTGTAGTTGTCAATTCCTGCTTGTCAAAATGAATTATACAAATAGTGAAATGTGCGATATGCATTTTCTTTATGGCCTTGCCAATGATAATGCTTTAGCCGCCAGGCGCCTCTATGAGCAGAAATACCCTAATCGTATAATTCCTCATCATACTATCTTCACTGGTCTTCATCAACGTCTTAGTGAAACTGGAAGTTTTCGAAAATTTACCGCAGGAAACGGGCGACCCCGCACAACAATAACCCTACAATTGGAGCAAGATGTACTTCATGAAATTGAGAACACTTCAACAACAAATACCAGATAGATTGCTAGAAACTTAAATTAAAGTCGTTCTACAATTTTCAGGATTTAAAAAAATATTCTTCTATATCCTTCCTTAACACATCCAACGGATTCAGGTACTTTTACCGACTGATTTTTCGTTAAGATTATATTTATGTCGATGGATACGACAAAAAATTGAGGGATTATAAACAAACATACCAAATTCCAAAAAAATCGGAATTAGGGTTCTCCAGATATTAGTAAAAACCTTGTATTTTCTCTAAATTTCAGCACCCTGTATCTCCGAAACGAAGCATTTTGGGACATAGGTTTATAGGAACTTTCTTTCTTATTTTTGGTCAAGGAAAGTCCCTCTGAATTTTTTCGCAATACTAATGGGACACCCTGTATATTACTTTGAGTATTGTTCCATTTTAGTTGATTTTTGTGTAAATAGTTTGGCATTGATAAAAAACCTAATATCTCACCCTGTATACGAGTTGATTCAAATACAGATTTCAAAACATTTTGGTGAGTATTAAGTCGTTCTTTATAAGAATTAATGCCGTTTTCGACGAAAACAAACATTTTCAGCGACAACAAACAATCTCCCCAACGCACCCCTTGTCCCATTCATCCCGTAACTTCGTCGAAAGGGTTCTTTCCCACCGTCGTCGACGAGGCGTTCGGATCCCGACGTGCGACCTTCTACAACATCCATCACACAGTCCCGCTCTTTATATTCAGATTTCCCGATTTTCATTTCATTGTGTCACTAAAAAGATACCTTAAGAGGTCATAAATTACCCGGGGGTGCAGTTCACCCCGTGTGGGCGGCGAAAGTAACGTTTACTCGGGTCGTATAAAAAATCTTTGTGTGGGCGGGGATTGCTCAAATTCGAGAAAACAGGTCGCGAAGCGAGAAAATTGGATTTGTCCCAATTTGCATAGGGTACGGATTACAAGGGATAACTTTTTTGGTATCGCGGAAAGGAGATTTGATAAATTAGCTTTTAAAAACGCTTCAAATAAAATAATTATAGAATACTTTTTTTTACTATACATATAGATATAACCTACAAAGTATATATGTGTATAACCTTAGCTTCCTCCAATTCTCCACAATATTATTAGTTAAACGGTATTTTATCTTTATTTTAGTCAAGTGGGTGTATACTGTTTCAAAAATTATGTGGACATAAACGCTAAGAGTTATTTTCTTTTACTATTACGTTTTTGAATATAAACATTTTTTATAACCACCGGATGATATCCTCATAAAAAGATGTTTTAAAATTCATCGAAAAAGTTAAAATAAGCCCATAAATATTAAAGGAATGAGAAGGTGTAACTTTATTTGTTTTGGAACGAATTTCCTTTTATAATGTGGATGTAGTAACAAGAATAAATTTAACACCCTCGGGACGATACTTCAGTATAGCGAATTTCATCTAAAAGAATTAGATCTGGAATGGAATTATTGCCAAATTTTAAAACAAAATAGTAGTAGATGGGTGTTCCCATAATAAGTCTGTCAAACTTTATCTGTAGATTCTACTATCAAAAATAAAAAATAAGGCATATCTAAAACTGCTTTATAAGGGAGTTACAAATTGAATTATGTAGAGTCTAATAGTGTGTCCCCTACACACTAATAAACTTTCAAAGTATAACAAATTTTCGGTTGTGACCGCTGGGCGCAGGGGTCGTCAGATCGGAGTGATTTTTGGTGTCGTTGTGAAAGTTGGATCCTTCTACTTCAAGGTGGCAATGGGGAGAGAAATGGCGAGCCTCTACATTTTGGCTATTTCTATAAGATTCCACCGATCTTTAACTGCGCCAAAAGGGAACTTGCGTCCGTCATTTTACAAAACTCTTAGAATTTTGACGACCCATTTTACGCTCTGTCTACGTATTATTTTGAAATATTTACTAATTTTCATGGAGATAACGAGGCTCCAATCTTTGATCTCCCAAAGTAATAAACGTCACACGCCACCTTCACTTAGCAAGACTTAGCCGTAATGTTCAAATAACCTTTTACGTACCGACATGATCATGATAAGCAGGTATTTAAGCAGATCGGTGTCCTTTACCACCCATCTGTGAGCCTTCCTTGTGCGGAACTCGATGAGGTGGCGGTACAGCTTCAGGATAACCGCACCGTAGCAGATGATGAACCCCACCTCTCTCGTCCACGGCTCCAGGAGGCATTGCACTACTGAGGGTTCGAAGAACTTTACCACTACCTGAAATAAATGTCATTATATTCAAATTAAATTTTGAATATTTAAGAAAAATGTCGTAATGAAGGTCTTAATCACGTAATAAAAGTTCGTCAGTAATTTACTCAATAAAACTATTGAACCTTGCAAAATTAATGAATATGTGGAAAAATATTGAATTATGCCATTATTTTTCAAATACTTAGTATAATTTTATGCTGTTTTTAATAGAAAATAAGCATCCAGGAATATGGTCCATTTGCTCTATTAAACATAGAAATCTTGGGCCACCTAATCGTGTTGATTTTTTGTTACTGCGTTTTTATCTATCCTACACACGTCTCCTCGAAGCAGATCGAATATGATCGCCTTTCAGGGAAACTCCATAGCCGTGATATAGTTTGACGACAGAGGTAAACAACGATAAATCTAATGGATGCCTTGGGAACGGTAGAGGCGGCATTGTACTTCAACTTCAATTAAGGCACGGTTTGCACTTAATCTATTTTGAAGGAAAACGGAGGAAAACGACGACCAAATAACTCGCGTCGCCTGATATAGATCGGTCAGAGTGTATTATGTAGGTTAGAGATTTTGTATGACGTTTACAGTATGTACAAATGTAACATTAAGCAAGTAATATGCATAGTGTCAGATGCCATATAAAGTTTAGCAACACCGAAATACTGGGGTCAGTAGATGACGCTGTCGAAAGCTGGTTACACCACACCAACAGAGGGTGATATTAACAATCAAGAAATTGTAATCACTTAAATTTAACTGTTAAAATGTTTTTTTAATTAATAATAAGAAAAATAAATGATATTACCAGAAATTTATACATATGAGAATAAGTAATATTTTAAATTAAATTATTTTTAGTCTACCATCATCTCATTAAATGTTGTAGATCATTTATTTGATAGATTTACGAAAAATATCTAGGTTTAAATTTCTACGCCAAAAATAATCTGGGACTGTTTCTTCTTTTTCAATTACGTAACTTCAACAGGGATAATAGACTTCGTAGACCTCTATTGTTTTAAATGGAACAAATAATCTAGGCTATTTTTAATTCTCATTACGACGATATTTTTGCAAGTTGACCTTTTACCATTGTGGAATTAAATATTTTTCTAGATAATATTAATAACACGGAACCAAAATTTACATTTATTTTGGAAATGGAAAACAATTACGCTTTTTAGATATTTTAATTAAGAAAAATGACAAATAAAGTTTAAAGAAATAAGCGTTTATAGGAAAACAATCTGACAAATATCTAAATTTTAATTCTAATCATCAAATTTTTAATAATGAATTGAAATTAATAAAAAGTGTACTCATAAACAATCAAAACCTTGAAAATTTTGTTGAAAGAGTTTTTAAGAATATTGAAACAATACAAATACTCGTATATTCCTGTATTATCGGAGAAATTGAGGAGAATAGGTAACAAATTTAACATTAGAACAATTTTTCAGATAACAAACACTTTACGACCGTTCGACATTTACTGATGTAATATTTACATAATTAAAATAATCTACTTCCAAGCTGGTCCGACATGGTAATTTCCACTCGGGGTTTAAATAAACATAACAACATTAAAATCACTAGCATAAAAAATACTTTGCAGCACTACTTATCAATTAAAAAGGTCTTTTTTAAAAATGCAACAATTTATTTTTTTATATATTTGATAATTCTTCAACATATATCAATAATATTATTATTATCCAACCGTGTGCCAATATATTCATCCTTATAATTATTTATACCTCATGAGGCAAAATATTAAGTATATAAGCTGTGTCATGCAAACTTTCAAATAGAGTGTCGATGGTGTAATACGTTGGACGTTGGCTTAGGAATCCAATGGTTAGGGGCTCGATCCCCGATCAGGTATGGCTTTTTTTTCAATTAATATAATATTTCAAATGCAATTTTTCATCGTTTACATTTCAGAACAAATATTTCTACACCAGTTGTTGGTTAATTTCTCACAGTGTTGCCACAGAATAAGTATCGTGGTGTTGCCAAATATCTGCTGTTTAGAGGCGCGTTAGATAGTTAAATTGTAACAGAAAATCGTGAAATATAAAATGTAGAATACGTATGTTAAGCGAAGTTCAAATGAATTAAAATATGGTAGGTTATTCGCATAAGAAAGTGGAATTAAAAATGATCATCCAGGTCCTTTTATTTCTTTTTGTATTCTTGAAAAATGACAAAGGTTTTTAGATGTTTTATAGGTTGTTTTTTGTGACTAAAATGAACTTTCAGATAATATAATATCGAGGATGAGCTACACAATTTATTAAGGAATAAATTAAAAAACAAAAAATCTTCGGCGATGAGATGCCTACATTCCTTTTAAAACGAGTAATATCTATTTTGATTCATAGACCAGGGTCGATAATTTTTGAAACCAAAAAAAATTATAGTAGGATGAAACCCATTGGAAGAGAAAGAGAATATAACAGAAATGAAAGGAAAAATAATTTACGGGCGATCTGAAGCCGGGAAGGGGTAGAGGGTGAGTTTTTAAGGGTAAAAAACGGTTTCCCTTGATTTCCAGAAAAACTAAAAGTCTTATGGAAAAAAGTTAAATNCCAAAGGTTCGGGGTTCGATCCCCGATCAGGTATGGTTTTTTTTCAATTAATATAATATTTCAAATGCAATTTTTCATCGTTCACATTTCAGAACAAATATTTCCGCACCAGTTGCTGGTTAATTTCTTACAGTGTTGCCACAGAATAAGTATCGTGGTGTTGCCAAATATCTGCTGTTTAGAGGCGCGTTAGATTCCTAGTTAAATTAAATTGTATCAGAAAATCGTGAAATATAAAATGTAGAATGCGGATGTAAGCGAAATTCAAATAAATTAAAATATGGTAGGTTATTCGCATAAGAAAGTAAAATTAAAAATGATCTTCCAGGTCTTTTTTATTTCTTTTGTATTCTTGAAAAATGAAAAAGGTTTTTTAGATGTTTTATAGGTTGTTTTTTGTGACTAAAATGAACTTTCAGTTAATATAATATCGAGGATGAGCTACACAGTTTATTAAGGAATAAATTAAAAACAAAAAATCTTCGGGCCCCGATGAGGTGCCTACATTCCTAATAAAACGAGTAATATCTATTTTGATTCAGCCATTGACAAACAATTTGGTTTTCGTGAAAACAAATCAACAATGTCAGCTGTCTTTTCTTTCTATAATGATTTAATTAATTTCATTGAAGCTGGAAAGTGTCCTGTTGGTATATTCAGCAGGGCATTCGACTGCATAAATCATAAAATATTACTTAACCGACTATCAGACTATGGAATGGAAATCTTTGCAGTGGGTTTCTTCTTTCATTGACGGTAGGAAACAATTTACATCTATACAATATCGTGGAGATGACTTTCAATCATGTGTTGTCTCTAAATATAGAATAGTTGGTACAGGGGTGCCCCAACGGTCCATCCTGGGACCTTTATTATTTATTTTGTATATAAATGCCATTGACTCGGTATTAGAAAACATCTGCTTTGCCCTATATGCTGATGATCTCTCGTTAATAATATCGCAAAAAATTACGAGTCTAAATAATAAATGTACTGAAGTTTTGCAGTCACTCAACAATTGGTGCAACATGAATGACCTATATTTAAATAGTGAAAAAACTAGGACAATTCGTTTCCATAATAGACAAAATATTTGTGAACCCTTATCTGTAAAGATTAATGATATATACCTCAAATGTATTACGGAACCAGTAAAATTTCTAAGTATTACACTCGACGAACATATGGATTGGAAGCCACATTGTGAAAATTTAGTCAGTTTATTAAACTCCACAAATTTTCTTTTTAAAAACATTAAAGACGTCCTAACTAAACATCAGTTAATGAACGTTTATTATGGTCAAATAGAATCTCGAATACGATATGGAATTTGTTTATGGGGTGACTCCACCTTATCGGACGCTGTTTTTGTTTTACAAAAACGTGTGATCAGAACAATTGCTGGTGTTCCAAGTATACAATCTTTCAGAACCCTTTTTGTTGATTTTGATCTCATGACTGTTGCCTCATTATATATTTTAGAAATGTGTATTTATGTTTATAAAAATAGAGCAAAGTTTAAAACAAATAGTGATATTATCACTTAAATACGAGACAAAATCATATTGGCTTAAGGATTTTTAATAACTTGCCCGGTAACATTAAGAGCTGTAATAACTTGAATATCTTTAAATATACACTAAAAAAATTTTTAATAAAGAAATGTTTTTATTCTCTCCGAATTTTATCAATTATAGTACAATTTACTTTGTTATGTTAGCATTTTATATGTGTGTGTGTATATGTATTTAAGTGTGTATATTGTATATTGTATACTATGTGTGTACATCTATATATTTGTATTTTTGTGTGGGACACTGTTGTCCATCATGTTGACCATTGCTATACATTAATGTAATGACTAAATTTTTTAGTAAAATAAAATAATTATAATTTAAATAAGGAAAACAGTAATCAGTTTTTTATTAGCAATAGCAATTCCAAACATTTGCCAACAATGATTTATCCAACGATTTATCATTTATAATTTGGATTCGGTAATAGATTTAAAAGAAATTGTGAAGCCAGTTCCGGAAGATACATTTTACCAATTTTTTAATTCGATTGACATCGCAAATTTTGGGGATGATATACCTAGAAGGATTTCCTAAGCTCGATTTTATACCTGAAATATGTATAATATGGAAGAAGAAAGTTCTAGAGAAGAGGATGCCTTATGAAACAAAAAAATTTTCACATTTTCTATATTTTATTAATGCAAAAAAGTAGTTTTCTTTAACCTGTAAGTTCTTACTAGAGTCATATTTTTAGTTTCCAAACTATGATTATTGAATAAAGACCAGTAACCAAAAAATAAACAATTTAATTTGAAATTTCACATTTTGAAGAAATAAACGGAAAAAGAACAAGCGCCTCATTTAAAAAAGTACACAATTTGCACCATACATT